GAGACTTTTCAAGTAATAAATGATTTTTAACTTCCCAAATTCATGAGAAATTCATGTTTTTGACCAAAAATCCGATTGGCTAATTTTAGTAGTAATTAAATGTTGAGAAAAATTTTGACATGGTTTTATAAATGGTTACATACCTACTATATAATGAATTGTATAAGTAATACCTAATAGACACAACAAATATTTTTTTTAAATTTTTTGTACCAATGTCTTTTATTTTATTTTTTTATAATTTGTAATTAAAAAGATCCTCATTACATCATTTTAGTAATATAATAATTTTTATCCTGCTTTCATATTTAATTCCAAGTGAAAATCAATGTCCCTGCTGCTTGACATCAGATTGTCCGAGACGATATAATAAACAAACGTAAATCTGTAAACTATATTCATCTTCTATTTTAAATGTTAAATGAACATAAATATTTATAATCTATATTACAAATTAGTGTCTACGTGCTATTTAATACGGAAGTTACGCCTACGAGTCGTTCGTTTTTACTTTCATTTTACAGGGGCATCGCGTCAGAAAAAAAATTAAGAATACCGGAACCATCAACAATTAGCATCTGATTCGATCATTTGCTATTAAAAAAATGAACATAAAAAAATTTAGTACTGATATAAATGATTTCTTGGCGTTTCAATTGAAGTTCATTACCGGTCATCGCGAAAAAACATCTATAAATAAGATATAAAATAAACCGTGTTGATTAATGAGAAGTGAAATTATAAAATTAAATTTTAAATTGTTCATGAAAAATATTTTATGTGTAAATTTACCAAAAAATTATCAACAGAATTTTAAAATGTAAATGTAACAAGAAATACTACTGAACCGTTTTTATACATGCACTTTTTTCGGGGAAGTTAATGATAATATATATGTATATATGTATATATGTATATAAATATGTGTGTATGTATTTATTTATGTATGGATTAATAAAATCAACAAATGAAGCAATTAAAGTATCAATATAGACTTCACAATCAACATCTAAATAATTAACAATTTATATATATATATATATAAATACATATATAACTCTCGTGTTATAATATCTGCAAAACGGCTTAACCAACTTTATGAAATTTTATATTCACGTTTAGTATGAGAAATCTGATATTTATATTCCTATTAAGGTTGGTCACACCTAAGATTTTATAAAAATTTTTGAACCAATATCTTTTATTTTCTTTTTTTATAATTTGTAATTAAAAAGCGTATGCAGATCTAAATTTTCACCCTTCTACCACAAATCCTTATTACATAATCATCATTTTAGTATTGGAATGATTTCTAAAACGCTTTCAGCCATGAATGTTTAATTTTGATTCGGATTTTCTTCAGCTTATGAAAAAGCTTAAATATTACTCTTTTTTAAAAAATATTAAGAATAGTCTACCCTCAACATTTCTTCTGATTTTTTCTTGAATTATTTTCTTTTATACTGAGTAATTGACTAATATAAATAACACAAAATATTAACTCTCCTTCTAATAATACCTATATTGTAATAAGCATTTCCGTAATTCATTAATTTTTCATTGCGCTTTCAGTCAGTGAAAGTTTTTTTTACTGAAAATGCATTCAGAATTTCTTGAGTTCATTGAATTTTTTTTATTTTAACTTTATTGATTATTTTTTAATTGCCCGTAGGGTAAATATACAAAAACATGGCTGTTTTTGAGAGAACTAAGCTTCCGATTTGAATGATCCAAAAAACCTTTTTGCTTTAGTTCACGGAACGATTGCTTTTTGGGAGAGAATTTTTTTTTCTTTTTTTGTTTGATATCCAAAAAATATTTTTTGTACTAAATTTTATTCTTCGAATATTTCATTATGGTACGGGAAGTTACATAGTACTACTTTTATTCTATTTTTTTATAGTGCGTAGTTAAAAATCACATATTTTCCTAAATTTTAACACTCCTATCACAAACTTCTATTTTGCTTACAGTAATTTAGTAATTTTTTGCTACTCTAGAAATTTCCTATAGATACTTTACTTGGTAAAACAAAGTCTGCCGGTTCACCTAGTATATATATATATATATATATATATATATGAGTGTATTATTTAAATTATGTTTAAGTTACTTTACAATGATCGTCCGTCGTAAGAGAGAGTATATATACTTTTAGCACAAAATTGCAAAAATCACGCAATTGCCGTTTCATTGTTGATAAAACCACAATGTGCTAATAAATAACTATAAAGTATTATACAATTACATGTCACATTGATAGATAAATACAATAAACATTGCGTGTCTGTAAGTAAGAAATGCATTTATCTTAATATTTATTATCTATGTGTAAGTTTATTGGCCTCATAACCATTTACCACGAGGATAATCTCCGATTTTATCATTAGACATTGTTTACAAATAATATGTCTAAAAGTGCGTATATGAAATATTTTTTTGTAAATAGCAATGAAGATTAGATGTTCTGTAAGTTTTGGTGAACGATGGTAAGGTTTTATTTACGTTCAGAAGGAGAAGTTTATGTTTTTGCCAAAAAATCTGATTTGTGTGTGAATATTGTTATTTTTTCATTATTTTTGACCAACAGTCAGTATTTAAGAGTCCTACAAGAGTCCCAACGGGGCTAATTTGACATAATACTACGGTTGCTTCGTACAACCTAAACGGTTGTCTCATCTCTGTGTGAAAATTTGTTTTTATTACAATTTTTGTGATAGGCCTAGAATTCAATAGGATATTCTATTGATGCAGCAATGTCGTATAAGAGCTCTTTTGATTTTGAAACATCTTGCTATATATAGTTCCAAGTGAAAACTGATGCCACTTCTGCTTGACATCAGGCTTTTCGAAGCGCGATGGAACCCAGGACCAATGATTCAGGTCAAGTCGCTTTAACTACTTACCACAAGCAAGCCTTAACATTTAGATTTAAAAAATTTAAAAGACAATAGATGTAACTTAATAAGACTCATTAGTTGTCTTCTTTTTTTGAAAAAAAATGCTGAACCGATTTTGATAGTTTATAAACTATTCGAAATTTATCAATTGGTAGGATATAGGATATAAGTTAGGGTTTGTGCTTATTAATTTTTGATCAATTGTGATATAGCCCAATTAATTATTATTAATTTTTTTTCATTTGGAAGCACATGGCTATCTATATTTTCAAATAAAAACAGATATCACAACTCTTTGATATCAGGGTGTACAAAACGGAGATTTAAACTCAGAACCTGGTTTCAAAACCCTGAGCACTAGATATCTACTCAAATCAAACATCTGGATATTTAACCAAAAACAGATTTTTTTTATACTCAAATCTAAATTTCTCTAGAATCCACTAAAGTCGAAAATATTATAGGACCATCATAAGCAACTTAAAAAATTATAGAACATATACACATTAACTGCTCAATTAAAAACAAAAATTGCCAAAATCATAATAGAGAGAACAAAATATGTCAATATATCTCTGATAACCTGACATCATGCAGTAGTGATATCAATTTTTACTTGAAAATGTAGATTGAAGATAGATTTCCAATTGAAAATAGTACATTTTGGGCACTGTGTTGTAAATTGGCAATGGGAAATTTCTCACACTATTCTCATCTGAATCGAATTGCGAGTTTAATTCAGGTCACAGATCTGCCTGATTTATTTTTATCTAAAAATAAAAAAAACTCATTAGAAAATGAAAAATACTTACTCAATAAGTAATAAATACAGTTTGTTTATAAAAACATTATCTACTTCTAATATATCAAAAGTAACTTCTAGCAATATTAATTAATTGGTAATTGAATTATTTTCATACAAAATATTATATTTATTTTTATGATCTCATAAATAGCCATTTGTAAACGATAACATTGATATTATCATTAATTATTATTATTATTATTATTATATTATTATCTTTATTATTTCTAATATTGTTATTTTGTTATATTTATTATTATCTTTCACTTATTGTTTTTATTCGACTTTATTGTTTTTCTAGTATTATTTTCATTATTCAGAAATTTTATTAATTTTACTTATTAATGTTATTATTATTATTATTTGCTTTTATTTTATATTAAATCAACATACTACGGATATCATATTATTGAAAATTCTATTCTTTATTCTGTACTCTTTTTAATAAACTTATATAATTGTTCATTACTGTTACTAAATGTTAATTATTCAGCAGTTGTAACAAATATAGTAATTAAAAATAAATAAATAATTTCCGTAAATAAAATAACAAAAATTCACCGAGTTTTCATTTTGTAATTTGTATTTTACCTCATATCATCATGACGAAGAGAATTATGTGATCAAATATTTATTTTCAGTAATGACATTTGTTATCATTTAAACATTTGAATGAAATTGTGTAAATATTGTAAATCATAAGTGTTGAAAGACAAAAATGTGATTTAAATTGATTAAAAATCTTATACAAAGATTATTTTATAATCCTATCAGTACAAAAAATAATTGGGTCAAGTTTTCATTACACCTAAGTGTACATGTAATGAAAAATGTTTTTTGTATTAATTTGAAATCATTTTTAAAATCACTCCTAAAAATATATATGTATATACATAAGTATTATAAGATAAATTTTATTTACGTGACAATATTTTTAGAAAATTAAATACCGTAGCGTGTACCTTATTAATATGATTAAATTAATTAATTAATCGTTTAATAAACTGATTCTTGTAAATAATGAATATGGAATTAGCAACCTAAGGTCATGTGCAACTTCAGATTTCTAAAAAATCATATTATAGTAATTATTGTTCGAGCCGTCGAAATGTATGTAAATTATATCAAAGTCAGAATCAAGGTTTCTAATTTGTTTGCAGGGAAATTGGTCTCGAATGAAACTAAAGAAATAAAAATTAATATAATTTTTTTATACCAATATATTTTATATTCCTATATACTTTCATTCGATTTTTTTTTAAATGATGTAATTTAATTTCATTTTTTTATTTCAGGTTAAATTTGGCCATACCCCGTGCAGCTCCAGGCGAAGGCGATAAGGCCTTCACGTACTCCCAATGTGTTCGGTATGATGTCAATTTTACAGAACTTTTGGAAAACGGAACCCTAGATTTGGTTCCGAACCCAAACTGGCCAGTAAGGCCTTGTGACCAGGGATGGGAGTTTGATTTTTCGGAAATACCTTATGCTTCAATAACGGCTGAGGTAAGAAAAAATATTTGATTTTATAATATAGTAATTATTACACCTGTTCTAAAATAGATAAGAGGTAAAACTGTAGGGATAAAATGGCTATAAGAATACAAAATCTTTTGACCGTTGTCAGAAATTTTGAAAATTGACATACATATGTCAATGTAACATGAAGTTCTATTTCAATCTTGCCCTGGTAGTGTTGTGTCATAGTTCTCTGGCAAGTGGGGTTGGATGATCCTCGAGACGGCTCTTGTAACTTTCTAAAAGAGTTTGTATTTAATCCTTTAGTGTGTATAATTTAGCATCTCTATATATTAACGAATATATAATTTGAAACATTCAAAATTTCTTTAAGGAATTTATTTTAGCATTTGAATTTATTAAGTTTGATTTGGAAGCAGATCCCCATAGTTGTATACCGTATGTCCAAATTGGCTTAAATATATTTTAGTAAAAATATGAAAAATAACATTAATTGAGAATTATAGGATAATTACAATGATAATTATTATTAAAGATTGACATACTCTTGGATGATTTTGCTCTCTTATCTGTCAGATACCTTAATATAAATTATGATGGCACTATATATATATATATATATATATATATATATTTTTTTTTTTTGATTTGTAGAATATAAGTCTATAAAAAATAACCTTGCTTTTCACTTAACATAACACATGATTGTCAAAACAAAATGAGTCAGTCAATGAGTGCGATTCTAAATTAATTTACTCGATTTAGTTCCAAAGATAAATTCTATATTTGATACCTACTTTGGTTGGTTGATAGAAGGTTCTTTAGTTTTAACAGTCAGAGTGTTTTATTTTTAAAATTGAGATATTATTATTGATAATTTAAAATATTATGTGAAACCAATAAATGTAATTAAAATATCATCGTAATAAAATCTTCAAACTTGAAGCGTCACAAAATTCTGGTCCATGTTTCTTACTTCCAAAACCAAAATCTCAAGATATTTTACTAGTTGCATATTACGAAATATACCGGAACTTAATCAAATTTATTTTCATAATTTGTCAAGATTTCATTGAACTACATAAGGACAAACACCTACTTATATAATTATGAAATTACTTAATAAGCCAGTTAACCTTTACGTGTAGTGACAAAATTGTCTTACATATTTATAATTTTGATTTAATAGTTATATATATGTATATATATATATATATTATATATATATTATATACAAAAAATGAACGAAATTATTTACAAAGGCATATAGCAATTATGATATTAATTAAATGATGATCATTACAGACATGTCACAAACTTCAAGGTATGATAACTAAATAATAATACGAGTACATTATTTCAATGATTTTTTTACTTTTTATAGCATATTTTAATTATGACATGCCTTTGACACATAAAAGCGGAGATCCTTGTTAAATATTAAAGGACAATTTAAAAATATCTATAAAAAGATAAGAATTCATATTAAAGTAATACCTAAGATGCTCCCAAAGTATATTGCCTAATATCTTTTATCAATTTTATCAATAATTTATATCTATAAGCACTAATTACCTACCATTGAAACAACTTTTTTGCTATAATATATTTAACATAAGTCTATATCACATTTTATATTTATTTCTATTTATGCTTTACATATAGACAACCTATGACGAACACAAGAATATTATTTTTATTAGATTTTTTAGGAACTAGTAAAAAATAATCTATGCTTATTACCTATTATGT